CACCGACGACCAAAAAGAAAACTCTGTTCTTTAAAGTCCCCTTTCAAGGGGACGCTGCGAGTGATCTCCTTATGAGACGCCTTGGTCAAGCTGTTTCGCGAACCCTCCCAGTGGCAAGGGTTCAAGTATCCTTCTCTACTAAGCCTATTTTACGCGGAGAAGATAAGGATAAGTTGCCACCCCAGACCACTTCAATAAGCATTTATTCCTTTACTTGCTCCTGTGGACAAAGTTATATTGGTTGCACGAGTCGGCGCTTATACAAGAGAATAAGGGAACACCTCCCGACATGGCTGGTAAAAGGCGAAACGAGAAGCATAAGCAGCGCCATTCTCGCTCATGTTGTCGACTCTGCACATCATGTAAACACTATAGCTTTAGACTATTTTAGTCGCGATTGTATGCGAACACTATGCACTTTTCAGATTTTTCTCAGTTGGCCCAGTCATCGACAACAAACGATGTCATATTAGATTTGATTTAAGCTAAGGGCATTGCCCCGGCGTGGCCGAGTGTTTTAGGGCGTCGTTCTTGCACAAGTGGGCGGTGGTTCTAATCCCAAGTGAGGCGGACTTTGGCCTCGAGAGTGGTTTTCAATTTCATCATTTATTTGCCTTATTCAAGGCCACATACAGGACAGTCCTGACGGATCCGCCTACTTACCCCTTCATGAAATCCGCTATACAATGCTGACATTTATTTCTGCCATGACGATGTCCGATGATAATCCATTATATACCGCCACATGCAGGCCAGTCCTGCCCGCATTTTTCTGTTACCGCCTTTTTATGGAGGGTTTTTTTTCTCCTGTAAAATTAATCCAATCATTTTTAATTTTCATGTGGAGTTTTTTTTCACCCCTCGCTAATCATTTTTCTTAACGGACTACTAATTCCAAAACTATGAAATGCACTTTGTACAGATTTTGCCTTCCTCGTCTAAAGTTCGCATGTAAATTGATTTTTACTTGCTTTGATGGGACTCCAACGGGTCTTTAATAAAAATTATTATTAGTATAATTCTTTTTATCTATTGTAACCGTGACCCCTTTACAAATGATCAGACACTAATTTTTAGTTTCCATCCAGTTTTCGTTTCTGAAAGCCAACAATAAGGTGTAGGTGCCTATATTTTGCTAATTTAAATAAGGAGTAAGTAAATAACTCGACCAGCACTTAGATCAACATGTTATTTGTTTCGAATAAGTATCAAGACTTTTCCCACGATTTTTTTGCAGAGCCTGACAGAAACCTTCCTCGATTTCATTTCACGGAAGGTATTCAAATCAAACGACACTTCTTCAACTGTCCCACACTTTCCTTATAAGAAACTTCGAAAGTTACGAAAGCAGCTCAGGATCCCTCCCTAAGCTAATTATCGGTTTTGTTAAGAATGACAGAAATGTTTGCATTACATTAAAAAATGAGATTCACACGAAGTAGGCGTAAGGAGTATTTAGCTATTTGTAGTGCAAATATTTTCAAGTCTTTTGTCCAGGTCTTCCGTTTTAGGTGATCTACTAGGGTCTCCCAGGCGATTCCGCCATTGTTCCATTGCAGCTATACCTGCAGCATAGAGGTGTTTGGTAAAGCAGAATGGCCAAATTAGTTAGCTGCCAACCATTTTACTTTCAGAACTGAACCAATCCCCTCAGTTTCTCCATCGCCTGATGTGTTCTCAGCACTATTAATTCAGAGGAAGATGAATCAGTTAAGTGACTCACGCCTAGTTGGAACTAACAACATGCCGAACATACTTTTTCAACAGTTAAGATTCCCCTCCTCTGCTAAGCAAATTACTCTCAGTCGATCTCGAAAATAGTTCCTTTCCTGATTATCAAAAAACTTTAGTTGTTATTCCAATATTTTAATCTGGCTCTCTTTCTGGAGTCCAAAATTGTTGGGTGTGCAGAAAATGTCCTCGTGTGAAAAACAGTTTGCAGAAATTACTGCCATCAAAATTAACGATTTTCGCATAGTCAGTCAAGTTATTACCTCTTTGCAGTTTGGCATTTGCCAGCTCGCTCTTGTGAAACGTACGCTATGTTTCCTCTCAATCTACTTACTCCCCCTCACAATGGTCATCTATCCATGGCCTTTACCTTTCGTTCTTTGTAAAACCTTTTTTAAAGTACTACATAAACGTCTGCTGGCTGTACTGAAGGATGTAGGTTTTCGCAGTCCCTCTAGTGACTTAATTAAGTCATGCCTGCCTAATCGAATACAAAAGTTCATAATGGAGTCGTCGTTTTCCATTGAGAGTCCTATTGTAAACAATGTCCCCTAAGGCACCATGGCAGGTTCGCTTTCGCTTCTACTTCACATTAAGAATATTTTGTCGGCAGCTAAAAAACTTCTATCTTCTATTTATGTTGATGATCTCATGTGCGCAAGTGCTTTCACTAAATCAACGAAACAACACTGTTTCGAAAAAATCAACGCTGACTTACTTGTTCTTTCTGCGTGGACCTCATCATGGCTAATAGCATTCTCTCTTCTAAATATCGTTATTTGCGTTTAGGACTTGAAAGTCTACCCCAACAAAAGATTTTCCCAGGGCACTCATTTGAGTGAATCTTTCGCCGTCAAGGAGTTAGGTTTAAACTACACCGATATTTATGGCTTCATCACTCATAATATTTACCCTCCTGAAGTAAACGTACGGCTTTGCCGACTATTTGTCCTTCCCAGCCTCAAATATTGAAGTGAGCGCCTTAGTTTAGTAACTAAGGCTAGTCGAGTTAGCATTAAAAATTTCTAGAAGCAATTTGCTAAACGACTCTTAAGTACCGCACATGAAAATGTCTCCTAATCAAACACACATAAGCTAACTAACCTAGTTCACATAAGTTCGGAGACTAAAAGCCAGCTTTTGCTCCCAATTTTGCATTTATAACAGTTCGAATCTCCCGCGGACTGTAGCGCCTACCCCATTTAGTTAGTCATAACCCTTTGTAAGCCGTCTTTGATTATAATTCCCACTACCTCCTCTACCTTTAAACGTCCATTCTACTTTGCCTCCCAATAAACCATTTTTGAAATAATCTGTCAATCAAACTTAGACGTCAAAAAGTCGGTCTGCCTTTAAGAGAGGCCTGCGCTCTTCTCATAACATGAACACGGTTAACCTCAATATTTCCGATCGCCATTTAGGACGTGGTCGCTGCACCCACTTCCTCCTCTGCGTGTTGTTGGCTTTCCGTGAATTGTCAGCAAAAATTTCAAATAGTTTACATCTCTGTATCGTGTCCTTCGCAAAAATCGGTGTTCTGCATGAAACAATCCACAGACAGATAACCCGGACCGTACTGATGTGTAGGTTGTAAAACGTGTACGTTTCGCTCATCGCTAACCATCGTCCTTATTCCGCCCGCAGGAGTTTCTAGGTTTCACCTTAGACCTGCCATCGCCTAGATTTCATAGACTCGATAAATTGGCGTTTCGTCCTTATTTGCTTTGGCTTTATGGGTTCACCCTACCCTCAGGGATAACCTACCATGCTCCACTATATTCCTTCTCAAAGTATATTTTTTCTTCTGGACATTCTCTTTGAAACTGGATTTTCCCTGGGTTTCCTCTTGGTATTAATTTAAGGAGCCCTTTCATCGCTTCGTTCGCAACTTACCATTTGAAAAAAATTGCAATTTTAATTTGTAAGTATTATTATTCAAATAACTTTTTTAATAGACTTTTTTAAAATTTGCTACATCGACCAACCTCCGAGGCCACCCGTTTACACTGGGCACTCAACAGGCAAGACTGGAGGTGCGGGAGTTCTCCTTCTCCGTTCGATTGGCCAAATCATGAAATGCCCTTGCTGTAGAGGTTGTGATGCCACCATCTATACAAAGCTTTAGAAAGAACCTCGACCTCTTCATGTTCCGGAATGACCAAGAGCGAGGGGAGTTCGAGCTCAGCGCCTGCGACTCACTCCCATTTTGTCCTACCATTATGGAATCGTTTGAAATATTTCAACCCAGAAAAATTTCCTTTGCAACACACATTTCTACGTTGCAACTAGGGTACTTGAAGGCCTACGTTTATTGTCCTAAATAAACTGAACTGAACTGTCTGAGAGAAGACAAATCGCTAGAAGGTTGTGAAAAACGCTGCCTTCTTTGCGTTGACAAATTTCTAAATCCAACTGTGCATGTGGACATTCACACAGACAATTACTGTTTGAATTATTTCTATTTTATCAATTGACTCCGTGCCAGAGTCGTTTATACAGGACCCTACAGAATAGTGCCCATATATATGCACTGAAAAATAAAGCAACTACTATTACGGTGTCATTCATTTTGATTCAGACTTTTAGCCCCGCCTGCTTTGCCGATTTTAGCTGCCATGTTTCTTTCCTCTATCGCTGCGTTTTCAGCCCCCACAATTCTCTTTCTTGCCGTCTGCATTAATTCGCGCATTTGCGGGTTTTTGAAATATTTAGAACGTATTACTGTTACATATCTCCGTTCTTCCAGATTTTGAGAGTTTGTTGATGGATTCACAACCCCATAATCTTCCACTTCCGATGTCTGCGAACAGACCGTTTGCAGGCCTCATTCTGCTGGTGCTCTTCGTCCGTATCAGAAGAAATATATTTTACACCCGAAAAACACGCAAGAGTGTAAACTGAACGGATTTGCGAGATTGCGTTCGCAAACTGTGTTCTCAGAATATAAATAAATGTTGGTCCCCAGCTATCTGACCCGACGACGCAACTTTGTTTAAGATGTTGCGCGAATATTAATATCCGGGTGTTTGGGAGTTGTGTCAAACCGGGTCGGGGCGGTAGCACTGTACAGTAATCAGGTGGGAGGACAATATACGTCAGTTAAAATCCCTTTTGACCGATGAAATTAGTTCTCTTATATTGTTGGACGAATTAGTCGACTGCTCTGCGCACTGTGGGCTGATCTAACTCCATGTGTATTCTGACCTATCATCTGTACTGGTCTCGTATTATCCCAAACGCACCTTTCTTTGTCAGTAGCGCCAAGCACTATGGATGCTAACGTGGATATGGACACTAAGGACAGTAATCAATCTCCGACCACCCGGCCTGCTTCCTTGACTAGATCCTTCAGGACCTTCTGCAACTTTTTCCAGTCACCAAGAAAGCGTTACGCGAACTTGGATCCCAACAGTGGCGTCCATCTAGTTGGACCGATGTTTGAGTTGACAGCATGTATTGACCACAAACAAAAGTGAGTTGCCCAAAATCAAGTCGTCCGTTGGGGCTTTTGGATGGATGGCCGCACTCCCCATAGTCATGCTTTCGTCCACTTTCTCATAGTTTAATGCGTTCACAAGAGGGCTCGATTGAAAAGCTAGTTTGGAATGGCCTTATGCGTGCTTTTAAATTGGCAAATTTTGCTCGTATGACGGGAAAGATCGCATTTTTTAAAATTTTCAGTGCGTTGTTTTTACACGTGCAGAATCTGTTGCCCTGAGTAGACAAATGCGTGTTTAGCGTAGGAATTGTGCTCGAGAAATCGTGGACCCTATAGGATTTTTCACGGAATCCTGGGTTACTGTTTTGCTTATCGAACAAATTTGCAGCCGATCCATGACTCTGTTGTTGTACACAACCCCTAATAAGGCCGTCCGGAAAGCTGAAGGGTAGTCAATGACAAGTGGTTATTCTATAGTTCCGGGAAGTGTATTAAGTAAAGGGTGTTTTCTGAACGGCAAGTTTTATCACAGCGAAAGTACCATTCTGATTAATTGACTAACGGTTTCAAAAGTGGGGGTCAACACCACTTCGGGATAAAAGCCGGCGGGCCTTATACCAAGTTTCGATCAATTTTCACTCACATACGCCGACTGCTGACCCTCGCATCGATGCTTAATAATTGTATACTTTCGGCCCTTTAATTTCTCGCATGATCACTTGGAGGAAGGCGCGTAATCAATATGATTCATGACGAACACCTTACTCCCTTGCACTTCGTTACCTAAAGTCGTGACATTATAAACTGGGGCGGTTAATCGTTGTGTTATTTGACATAGTCTGCCGCCTGTTAACGTATGATCATGGGTTATTGTGTCGAATTTTCCCCTCGAGTGCGGTTTTTAAGTTTGCAACTTTACACAAGCATCTGATAAATCTCGAAGGTATTCGCTCGTCAAATCACAAGCGGTTACTCTCAATCACACCGTTACTGTATTAAGAAAACCGGACCATTTTCTGCGGAAGAATCTCTAAAGTCGCGTGCGTATTTTTCGCATTTCGAAGTTTCAGGGAATTAACCATGCGGCTTCAGAGACCTTTGCGACCGGGAGTGCGTTTTTTACTTCCACCGAGGCCATTCCCACCGCAGAACACCCCACCCATTAACGCGAGTTACACCGGGACGGTAAATTGGAAGTACGGGATGTGCTCTGGGGACCTGTACCAGCTAAATAGATTTTGAAGCCATGCTAATAAGTTCCTGCCTTGCCTTTGCAACCTAATTTTTCTAGTCGGCTATAAGTTGTCGCCTCGTATATTTTATACTTCGGAGATGCGCTTGTGTTAGAATCTGCCTATCGTAAAGTGGCGTAACATTTAGCTGCGCCAAGCCGTGGACACGATAATGATTTGCCCAGCAAATTTTTAGGTCCGTGTTGTGCTTATGCCAAAACGGATTTTGCAGGCAATCATCCAAAGGAGCGCTTCATCGCACCTTTCTCCTTGTCGTCCTTGGAAGCCGTGATAATTGCAGTCGTTCTTTGCCTGCAACGCCTTTTGTCTGCGCGCTACCGTGTTCCTCAGTTCCTTCTTCCAAAGAATACTTATTTCATCGAACGGTGTGCGGGAGTCTGGCCATTCATGAGGTCTATTGTAACACGTAGACCGTCCTGTCCATTTCGCTTTAATGTCACGTCTGGCGTTTGGTGTAGAATAATATCCGGCCTTGTACATTTAACACGTACACTTGTGCGGTCTTATTTATCTAACGTTTAGCCAACGATACGCCTATTGCACAAGGTTTCTGGAGACATATGCGTTGATGTCTATTTATCTGAAGTTTCGTCAGTTCGCCCCTTAATCATACTGCTTCAGAATCCGCTCACAAAACCTCGAACAATGAATCCAGACAATAGGTCTTTGGCCTGCCTAAAGTGTCAGACGCCGCATTTAATGTCCATGCGCTCAGCCTCGTCAATATGAAACTTGTTTAACAAAATTTCCCGGACTCGTGGTTTGGAAGGGTGAACAAAAAGGTAGAGTGTAACAAGTTGACTGAAGTTAAAAGGAATGCCACTTACCCAAGTATTATACGTTGGATTTTCTGGGGCAAACTTTCGCCTGTTATGAAAGCGTCCTTACGGGCGCCAAATAAAACTATGTAGTGGTTTCCGTTTATGTATTTATTAAACACTTATGCTTGTTGAACTCCTTACCCAGTCGTTACTTGCACACTTGGTCACTAGCCACCCTTCTTCATGACCATAACACTTCCCTGTGCGTATGTGAAAACAATGTGTCGTTAACTTCGTTTGGCTCCTTGTGGGAGAACTGTCAGAGGGTGTCCATTTTTGGGTTCACAGACAGCTTTTGAGGGCCCTGTGTTTGCTAGAATCAACTGTTCCTCGTACAAAAACTGTCTATCTAGTTTTCTTTCATTGTTTTTTGGAAATACTGCAGTCGTCCAGAAATGTATTTTGTGTTCTTGCTCTCAAACCAAAGGCCTTGTTTTCCCATTTTTTCTTTTTGCAGCGTTGAGGACTTTGATGCATACTATCCAGATTCTGGATTATCCTACGGACCAACTATTTGTTCCTTTGGACTCCCTTATAATGTAATGTTCTTATTAACTAACCTAGTTGAAACTGTAGGACCACAATTATGCCTTCCCGGTTGGTCTTACACCGCCCGCAATGGCGCCGCACCTAATGGATCTACCACTGGCAAAAGTCTCGAACCTTACGACCGCTTCAGTAACTCAGTCTTCTCCTACAGTCTCCCGCGTTGATCTGGGTAACTTGAAGAGTACGGTGGTTTCCACCTCCGCGAAAACTCCACCTAAAGAGGGAACAACGCCTTCTGTGTCTCTGCGTCCCAACAAAGCCACGCCCAAAGTATTTCCACCTGTGACCAAACCTAGTCACTCACCTATAACTTTTGACATAGCTGACGCCACGGCTGGTCTTTCGGAACCCAAAAAAACGCTTTTTGGGGCTTGGCACGCAAAAGCTGCTGCAAGTGGTGGTACATTGGTTGTGCAGCAAAGATGGAAGGACCAAGAGCCACCTGCGGTACTACGCTACAACAAAGTTCCCCCTAAAATGGTCGAGGACATGGAACTGCGTTACGATCCTGAGATGAAGGTAACCTCGACCTATTTTAATCAACTTAAATATTTTCCCCCATGTTACGGACTGGTTAACTGTATGCGTCCTACTAAATCTGTGGCACGCTTCCGTCAAACCATCAGAAAAAGACTGACGCAAGAGAGCTTGACCATCATTAAGCACTGACCGAGCGTGCCGAAATTATGAGATGCGTTTTACCCGCAGTAGTTGCCATTCACTATGTCTTTAACTAACTGTTCTGTAGGCGATGAAAAACAGGATGTGGATTGTGTCAGGACAATACTGTTATGGATGCAACAGCCTTAATTCATATTGACCCAACTGTGAAAAACTCGACGCCTCGGTGGGATTCGAACCCACGCTGTGAGGGGAAGGCTTTAGTACAGCCAACGCTCTAACCACTTCAGCTACGAGGCCCCGCCGGACAACTCGAGTTTAATCACAGTTGCGTCAATAGGAATTGTTCAAAGTCTGCCAAAAGATCTATGAATTATGTGAGCCTGGTAGTCATCTGGTGGATTCTGGGTGAATTACTTAGGAAATCCTGCTTGGGCAGTCAACTTACTGTATCAGGTTGGACAGGTAACTTGACCCAAATGTGATTAAACTCGCGTTATCCGGCGGGGCCTCGTACCTCAAGTGGTTAGAGCGTTGGCTGTACAAAAGCCTTCCCCTCATTGCGTGGGTTCAAATCTCACCGAGGCGCCGAGTTTTTCACAGTTGGGTCAAAATGTATTATTCAAAATCCTCCAAAACATCTATGAACAACAGCCTTACTCCTCGTATGCCGACAGCGCGAAAAGTAACTGCATCCAACAACAGTTGAGAGAAACCCCGCTTACGAGATCTACTTATCTGTCAAGTGAACTTATTGCCGGGTGCCGCCGTTCCTATTCAGTGTTGTTGAGAATATTTCACTGTCTAATGCCTATGCGACTTTTCCCTTCATCTCATCAGTACGCTGCCAAGACGTCAGTTTTCAACTGAGCGGCGTTTTGAGTTACATTATGTTAGGCTCGTGAACCTGGACTAAACTGCTTTAGTTTAGCAATAGGGACCTCCCGTTTCGTTGGTTTCCAAAAATCTCAGCCATAGGGGTCCGCTCATCGCAGGGCAGGATAGCTGGCGTCTGCTGCGGCCAAACTACTAACTACCCTTTAATTTGGCCTTTGTTACTGACAAGTTTGATTTTGGATCATCTCGGACCCACGTGTTTTACTCTGACTGGTAAAGACATAGGCTGGAGGATATTAAATTAATCTTGGCCATTGTTTGTGGTTTTTGAGCTTCATACACCAAGTTGCTCGTTTAACATTCGGTGGTTGATTTGCACCTCAACGCTAGTTTGTCGTCAGTACGCAAATGCACTTACGTTGCGGTGTTTGTCCTTCTAACTGCGGACTTAGATGGTGTTCAAATATCGCGTGATTCACCTTACTAACAGCATAGGCATTAGCTAAAAGCCCGGACACGTGTTTCGCCGGCATTCTGCCGCCTCATGACAACTGCGAGAGGATGGGCTCATCAGTGGGTCCCCTAGCATTCCCAATGCCTTTTCTGGTAAACAATCCAGCCCTGAAATCTCCGCCTTTAATCGCTAACTTGGAGTTCATCAGTAGGAGTTAAGCCTTATAGGCTTAGTCCGAAAGTTGACGAGTATTTGAGCCGAAATCCCTCGACTACAGCCGGATAACAATGTAATATTAAACTACCAACAGCCATCTAGTAGTACGCAAATGTTGCATGAAGCTGGGTAGTATTTTCAATGGTGGCGCCCTTGCCTATATGTAGTCAGTTTGTGATGTCTGTATCAGCCCATGTGGCAGTCAATTTCTTACTGTTTTTTGCTTTGCGGACAGATTTTCGAGGTGCCGGACGATATCTGTGTTTCACCATCTCAGCTCAGTGGTCTCGACAGCGAATCCTCTGACGAGGAATCATCGCAGCCCCAACAGTTACCATCTGCGAATCAACCGCAGAACCCAATCGAATCTTCGGTACTGTTTTGAGTACTCTATGAAGAATTTCTTGGCACTGGCTTTCGAGACTTGCGGATGCGGGAGACATCTGAATCCTATTCACATAGAAGCTTGGCTGTTTGTGCGGGATTGTCCTACAAGCAACTCTTTTGACTGAAGTTGATAAATCCACGTCTTGAGCACTTTTAAGGACACCTGGTCCGTTATTTTAATAATGAAAATAATGACTGCCTAAAAGAACTAGAGAACTCGCATAGCCAGGAAGCGTGTATCACC